AGGACTCCAGTTCATAAAGAGAAAATATTAATCAGGAGGACAGAGCAGAATAATATGTAAGAGTCCCCCTTGAAACTCCACAAATAAATTGTGGAGATTTTTGAGGGATCTCGAATTCTTCTGGTAGAGGCTATGAAACATGTTTAATGGCAATGTAATCACCTTTGAATCTGGAGGCGCCTAAGGACTTGGGGTCTTTAGATTATATTAAAAAGTTACAGGTAAAATCATCTTTTGCAAACAACTAAATGAACTTAACCAAAAATATTGTTTCAGTCAATGTTCCACTGCATTTTGAGACTGACTTTGTGTACTTATTCCTGACATCAGCATCCTATTTACTCCCTTACTTTCTCTGCCTCCTCGCCACAGATATAATAAAACCTCCATAAGTATTATACTATATGCACATGTACATACACATTGTTGCATATACAATATATATTCCATAGCTATTTACATTGCTATTGCAAAGATGTTTATTTTAAAAAAATATTTTATTTTGTTGTTGTTGTTGAGAATATACACAGCAAAACATACAAAAAGTGCTTTTAAGATATGTTTGCTACTAACAGTTTACTTAACATTTTTCTGTCTTTCAAGATCGCTTGCAGAGCAGTTAATCATATGTAAAATATTTTCATACATCAGGCAGTTTACTGTGTAAGGGGATTCTTATAAAATTAATACTTCTCTGGAATGGGGACCACCACATGGCTCTTGAAATATTGAATTTTCTAGTGTTTGTGAATCGGGAATCAGAGATTTCTTTTTCAGCCAGGAGGAAACTTCTCATTAAACTGTGATTTTCCTGGGCCTGAACTGTCAGCTGGAAAGACACAGAAACTGTCAAAATCACAGGGAAGTCTGTCTGATAAGGACAGGGGTGTGTGGAGTCAGTGCCCAGATAAGGCAGACGTGGGACATAAATCTCTCTGGCTTTCTTTATTTGGGTGGGGGGTTAATTTTTTTTTTTTATTGTGGTAAATATATAGGTAGCAAAACATTTGCCATTTCAACAATCTTCACATGTATAGTTTCAGTGACATTAAATATGTTCATCATGTTGTCCAACTGCTGTTGTTGTCAGGTGCTATCAAGTTGATTTCGACTCATAACAATGCCATGTGACACACAGAACTTCCCCACAGGGTTTTCTAGGCTGTAATCTTTACAGGAATATATCGCCAGGTATTTCTCCCACAGAGCTGCTAGGTGGGTTTGAACCAACAACCTTTTGGCAAGCAACTGAGTGCTTAACCATTGTGCGACCAGGGCTTTTTTCAGCCATTACCATTCCCAATTTTTTCATCACCCTTAACTGAAGTGCAGTGTCCCCTAAGCATTGTGTCTTCCTTTCCCCTTCCCTTCCCTTCCACCCACCCCTGGTAACCATTAATATACTTTGATCTCTATACACTTGCCCATTCTAGATATTTCATATCCTCTGGCTTTATTTTTAAGCTTGGCATTTCACGAAGAGAAGCTAGGCTCCCAAGAGATAGTTCCCTGAGTGGTAGTTCCTGGCACACTTCCTGCCCTCATTCCTATTCTGGTTTAATACCTCTATCAGGAGTCCTGAGTGCTGCCAAGAGACGTGAAATCCATTACCTACAGCCTTTGAAACAGCAAGGCAAATGAAAGTAGAGTGAAGTAAATAAGAACACCATCCTTCTTTTTTCGGTGTGGAAGTTTAAGAAACTTGCTTCTACCCTAAGTTTCTATCAACCGGTTCTCAATGTGAGTAGAACATCTAATCTCTGAGACTTTAGAGACATCAATAGTTTCTGCAAGAACCAATCTCAGGAAGAAAAGACTTGAAAAATGCTCCACATTCCTCAGATGAAAGGCCATTGCTGAGAACACAATGGATTAATGACTTTGTAGTGGGAGTTTCATGTGAGAAGAAATAGTACTTCTGGCTCTTGGCATCATTGCTGTGAAATAGACACCTTTTCCTTGTCATGGTGGAGTCTCGGGTAATGTTTGCAATAATCAGGTCTACTATCAGCTGATGGGGCTGCCAACATTTACAGGAAAGTAAGGGACACTCACCTCATGCCAGCAGCTGTACATGACTTCATATATGGACATTGGCGCCAGGTGAGGACGGTGCAGCCTAAAGCCTTTAGAAATGGCTTCTACTACTTGTAAATTTGACTTATTTTCAAAAGGCATTTTACCTTCTGTAAAAACTTCCCACATCAAAACTCCTGCAAATAAAATGCACAAAAACAAGGGGTTAGAGAGAAATGATAACTTGGAACTGAAAGAGTGGTTTCAAACTACAAGGCATCATTATTTCCCTCCAGCCTTTGAATTATAACCATCCAGAATGAAAGCACTTCTTCCCAGGGAGCAGACGACGTGCACCTTAGTTTCTGAAGAGACCTGTAAGTTGAAATAATCCAGCTGATAATGCCTTTCCATTTCTATTGGTCTTGACAACCTCCCTAATAAAAGAAAATACTGGAAGCATTATCATTTCTAAATACTGCTCGTGTCCCTATACCCTGATATCAATGAACCTTTCTGCCAGTCTGTAGAAAATAACAGAATTGTGTGAGGCTATGGCCAAGATGTTCCAAGCCACAAAGGATGGCACGTGTCCCCACTCGCCACTGAAAGAGTGGACTGCAGGGTAGAGTCCTGGAGTATCCAACAGTATCTAGTAACTCTGTACATACTTGGGGTTTAATAATCCTTGATTGATTGAATAATGAAACTCCTTCAAGAACTTCTAATTTGAGTTCATTTAATCATTCACTTTACAAATATTTATTTGAGTATTGATTAGAGGCCAGGTGTGTGCTAAGGACAAAGGATTCTATAAGAACAAGATCAGTCTGTGTCCTCAAGAAATTCACTCTCCAGAGAGGAAGAGAGACAAGTGGTCAGGACAGAGTTCTAATTGTTCTGCAACCACTTGATGATGACCTTGCATTTGTTATCCATTGGTCTCTAAGATGTGGTCTCACAACTTAACCACTCTCCAGTAGAGCTTAAAATGTCACCTGCTGAAATACCACGTCAGTGGAGACCGAATGAGATCAATGGTACAAGTTTAACCTTATTGTGGACAATAAAATTCATACCATTCTGAGGTCTCAGATGTCTCTCTAAATCTAAAAAATCATCCAAGAAGTTCTGCTTGAAAGAGAATAGGTAAATCATTGCTCGCCCATTGCCACATTTTTTTGAAAATCAGCTCAAACTCCATTGGACATAGGTCTACAATGTCTGTTTCTCAGTGAAGAGCATTACCAGATATAAATATCAGTTGATAGATCCTATGGAGGCCTATGTCTAAACAGCACAAATTTGAAGACAAGTAAATAAGTTGGCACCATTTTCTCAATCCAAGTTTTAATTTCAGGTTGTCAACTGAACAGTTTGGGAATAGCGAAGTTGCTTAGAAGTTAGAGGATGAAGTTTATTAATTACACTTGTGACTCAGTGACTCTGTAAGATCAGTTTCCCTTGCAAGTCTCTGTGGGATAGAGAAGTTGGCTGAGTTTTTCTCAGTCAATAGACTCTTTGTTATGGTTTTATAGTAGTACTCATTGGGAAAGGAAAATACCCATAAAGCATGTTTATATAAGAAGGTGTATGATACCACCTGCCAAAAACAGTCTTGGTGTTTAGAACACCTAAGACAGAAGCACATTAGAATAAGATTTCTTAAAAATGCTACTTCATATTAAGAAATCAAAATTTTAAAAAAGATTGACCCATTTTATTAAAGCAAATTCCATCAATAAACATCAAATGCACTCACCAAATGACCAGACATCAGATTTGGTGCTGTACTTGTTGAAGTGAAAAACTTCAGGAGGGGACCATTTGATTGGGAACTTGGATCCAGAAGAACTGATATATTCATCATCCAAAACGTACCTAAGGTCATCAGATTCAAAGAACATTGTATTAATTACCTTCAAGTTCCATTTACTTCAAATTCCTTTAGTTAATTCTGAGTTGCTAAAAGAAAAGTATTTTAATTCCAGAAAGGTTCTGTACAACTTCTCTTCTTGTTAGCAGAGTGGAAAATTATCTCTTACATGTTTCCTCCCCAAGGCAATCCTCAATTGTATTTATTTTATTTGGATCTCAGAAAATCATAGCAATTTTTCAGTTTGAAGCATATTCTACTAATTATGTTGCAAAAAGGAAAGAAAAGATAAATAACCACTCTTCTGGTAATTGAAAAGAATGAATTCAAAGTTGGATGCTACATTTTCCTTCATTATGCATGTAATTTTGGGGGGCATACAGCAAGGGGGAAAATAAAAGTATTTGAACATACTACTTTTGATGTGAAAATCTCTAATTCATTAGAATGACCCTCATAAAAGGAGTATTAGACGTTAGTGGGTCATTGAGTGAAGACCCTGTATGTTTCAAGGGCTGCCCAGGAGCATAGTACAAAAAGAAACCCCCACTATCAGCAACAGGTTAGAGGGATTCAAGAGCAGAACAGAACCTGGCCTCACTTTCCCACGTAGAGCCCTAGGAGAGGCAGAAAGATTCCAGATAACAAATGTCTGTGGATATGCCTAGGTAAATTGGGCCTTCGATAGCCCCATGGAGTTTTCTAATCATAGAGAATGCCAGGGATCTCAAAACAGAAATTCAGGATGAGGCAGCAGCTACCTGTGTGGATGATCAGCCAAGGATAAAACAGGAGGATGATGGTTGCAAGGACGCCAATGTGAACGAATAAAGATAAGGACCAGGTGGGTTATTTCCCTACAAGGGCTGTGGTCTCCTGAGATACACAGAACTTGGACTTTGACCCTGAGGAGAGTTGGGGAGAAACTCTGAATTCACTGGGATTAAATTTCTCACACCCTAAAATAAACAGGGCTCAAAATATAAGTGATATTGTTATATTTTTTTCACATTCTTGAGTTGTAGTCTTAAAGTCATAACTACTATACCTGATAACAGAAATATGTTTGATGATGACATAGAAAAATCAGAGATGAGCAAACAAATGTATTTAATTTTCTTTCAGAAATAGACAAATAAAAAGATTTTTTCTTAACTGTACACATATAATGAGTACACTGAGAGATTACCTTTTTGAATTTTTAAGATAAACCAGAGTGGTTTTTTTTAATTAAGGACCTAAAATAAGGTCAGAAGAATAAAAACCAGTTGCTGTCGAGTCAACTCTGACTCAGGGTGACGGCACGTGTGTCAGAGTAGGGTTTTCAATAGCTGATTTTGTGGAAGTAGATCACCAGGCCTTTCTTCAAAGGTGCCTCTGGGTGGAATGGAACCTCCAACCTCTTGGTTAGCAGCTGAGTGTGTTAACCATTTGCACCACCCAGAGACTCCGATTAGAAGAATAGAAACCAAAAACCCATTGTCATCGAATCGATTCTGACTCATGGCGACCCTATGTGTCAGAAGCCCACAGTAAATGTTTACCTTGATTCTAAAATTGATGTTGTTGTTAGGTACCATCAAACAGATTCTGACTCGTAGCAACCTTATGTATAATAGAACAAAATGTTGCCTGGTCCTGTGCCATCCTCACAATTGTAGGTATGTTTGAGCCCATCGTTCCAGCCACTGTATCAGTCCATCTCTTTGAGGGTCTTCTTTTTCACTGACCCTCTACTTAACCAAGCATAATGTCCTTCTCCAAGGATTGGTCCCTCCCGATAATATGTCCAAAGTAAGCGAGATAGCCTCGCCATCCTATCAAAGAATATTAACCATACCATGGACTGCCAGAAGAACAAATAAATCTGTCTTAGAAGAAGTACAGCCAGAATGCTCCTTAGAAGCAAAGACAGTGAAACTTCATCTCGCTTACTTTGTCTAAAATTGATACATGTCCTAAAGTTCAAAGTGGGTCAGAGATCATACAACTACACCAACACTTCCCTGAAAGAAAAACGAAACTAAACCAATAGTGTCTTCAATTTGTAGGCAAATGTGTGATTCCTTTTTATGACTAAACAAAAAAGATATTTCATGTACCTCGTCATTCCAAAGTCTGAAATTTTTACAACACATGTAGAGCTGACCAAACAATTCCTTGCCGCCTGTAGAAAAAAGAAAAGAATATAAACTTGAATGCAAGTTTTTCTTTCAAGACTTTTTTAGGCCTTCCACCTAACTAAAAAAAAAAGTAATTGATTTGTTTTTTTAGTCTCATGTAGGTCAACTATTTGATAGAATTGTTCTCTTTTCAACTAATTTGTGGTTCCATTAGTGTAGCAAAAAAAAAAAAGCAAGAAACTTGAAATGGTCAGCCAGGAGGAGCCAGTCTGGAAGATGCCAGCAACTTACGGCAATAATTTCAAAGTCAAACCACAAGACAAGTCCTTGATAGGAAAAGATTCATTGTTAGCTCATATAGTTTAAGTGGCATGTAGGTAGATAAAATAGAACACAAAAGAAAGTGATAAAGGAAGAAGCCAAGGATAGGAGGGTCTATGAGAAGCCGCCTGGAGCAAAGAGAACTTCCAGAACTGTCTCCCAACTAAATTTTTAATTCTAATCCCTGTCAGGAAAGATAAACCTGCAGAGACTAGGAAAGTGAGCTAGGTGGAGCTGATACAACCTCTATTCAAAACTTTGCTCAATAGATACTTTGTGCTGGATACTAGGGAATGTGCTATGAAGAATGAAAAACATTGGTCTATCTATGTAATAGCAATAGTTAACATTGCTGAGCTCTTCTATGTGCCAGACACTGTTTTAAGTGCTTATACATATTAATTCATGTAATCCTCACAACAAGCCAATATGAGGGAGGTGCTATAATTAGTGTCACTTTACCAGTTAAGGTCATATATGTATAAGGTAATATATAAGGTCACATATCTAGGAAGAAACAGAGGCAAGATTTAAACCCAGGCAGTCTGGCTCTAGAGCAGTGGTTCTCAACACTGACTGCACATTGAACTCACCAGGAGAATTTTCAAAACATATTGATGCCTGGATGGCACCCTCAGAGATTCTGATTGAATTAGTTCGGGGTATGGTCTGGGTTTTGAATTTTTTTAAAAGCTCCCCACATGATTTTGAGAACCACAGCTGTGCAACCTGCGTTCTTACCACACCATGTCGCATCTCAGAAGTCTAGGCCCTGGTCTCAAGTTTAGAATCTAGTAAACATTAAGCTACATGAAGTAGTAAATAATAAGTGCCATGAGAGTTCTAAGTCATGTAGAGGAGAAGCACAATTCCCAGTGGTTTACTGGGACCAATGTAATTATCAATAGTGTTTCCTTCTGTCCTCAAAATATTCCAGCTTGAATGATAAATAATATGGTCACCCTGGTCGTGTGTGACAGAAGCACTGGATTATGTCTACATAAGAGTATCAGAGAACTTCCATAGAATTCTCAAATTCTCTTTTAAGTTAGTTTTTGGACTTAGAAATGAGACATGGAGGGACATAGAAGGAAGAATATGAATCTAATGAACAAATGTGGAATGGACAGTGTTACTCAAGGGCAAGTGACAAGACAGGAAGCAGAGCTACTAGCATTTGGGACAAGATAATCTATCCCAAGTGTTATAGGCCAGAATGATCTAGCATTTCTACTTTTCTCACGTAACATCAGTAATGGTCTCCCCATACAGTTAGAACCAAACCACCTCCACATGGGGGTAGTTTTGCTCCTGGTTGAGAACCACTGGAGCTTGTTCTTTGCTATTATATCTCCAGTGTCTAGCGGCATGCTTGGCATACACTAAGCACTCAATACATACTTAATTTTTGGTTGAAAGAAAGGTGAAAGGAGGAAAAGAAGAATGAAGAGAAGAAAAAAGGGGGAGAGAAAATTAGTTTTAGTTGATTATTTAAGTGATTAATTAGTTAGAGGCATATTTGGGGTAAACCCTGGCTACAGCATCAATGGGAAAAAAAAGTTACATGTTACAATAATTTGCATGGATAGGAAAATGTTTACAAATGTAGCCAAATACATTTTATATTGAAAATAATTGTCATTTGCTTCTGAATATAAGTACAATACATAAAATAATAAATGAAGTTGCATCGTACTTACTAAATCCCGATGAATAAAGCAGTTTTTCTCCAGATATGCCATTCCTTCACATATATCCTGGCACATACTCAGCAGCATTTCCTTTCTAAGCTTTCCTTTTCTCTCCCTGAGATAGTTCAGCAGGCAGCCATTTTCCATAAACTCTGTCACGATATAAAGTGGCTTCCTCTGTATACACACTCCATAAAGCTGAACTAACCTTGAATGAGATAATTTCCTGTTGAAGAAAAACATCTGCCAGTGAGCAGTAGTGTTTTCATTTTAAAGTGTTTGGACTTAGCCGGTCACATTTACCATCTATATATCATTTTCATCATCAAGATACCGTAAATATCATAACCTAATTGCAAAGAAAATAGAGCAGTTCCCTTTCCATTTTATGCAATAAGAAAGTGGGGTCAAGAGTTTAAGTAGTATTTCCAAAGTCATTGTAGATACATATTTTGTTGTTGTTATTTGCTGCCAAGTTGGCTCCTAGTCATGGAGAACTATAAATAACAGAATAAAATGTTGTCTGGTCCTGTGCCATCTTCATGATCATTGGTATGTTTGAGTCCATTGATGCGGGTGTTGTGTCAATCCGTCTCATTGTTAGCATTCTGTTTTTTTCCTTTTCATTTTGTAGCCTTTTGTTTCTTCATTACTGCTCCTCCTTGTCCATGGCTCATGGAGTTCCTGTGCCTTGAGTCCCAACCTTCCTTATTGCATGTGCTCAAACAAAAATTTCTGCACAGACAGGAGGGAGGAAAGAATGGTTGATGCTGACAAAGAAGAAAATTAAATCCTAAAGAATAAAGCTGCATAAAAGAAAATTTTTACATAAAGTTGAAGACTGAAAAACATTTACCAAAATGAAATCCTGCTCTGTATTTAGTAAACACACACACACAGAGTCCTTAAATGTTGCCTATTAAAACATATATACAACTTTTAGTCATCTAGACTTCAAAAGGTTGTTGTTTCTCATTCCCCTTGAAAACAGGAACAAGACAAGGATGCCCTTTATCACCACTCCTATTTAACATTGTGCTGGAAGTTCTAGCTAGAGCAATAAGGCAAGA